TTTGAGGATCTCTCATTACCACACAATCTGTGAGTGTGCCCCATTTTTCAAAATGTTCTCTTAAACTATCATCGGTAGTTTCAAAACTCAGACCACCAATAAACAGCTTCCTCAATTGCTCTGGCTCCTTTGGATCATGGCCCTCCATTTTGAGACCGGACTCGCCTCTTCCAACTCGAGTTCAATATGGGCAAAAAAATTCTTGATAATTTAGATTAATATTTTTTTAAAATCCACGAAACAATTGGCCCGCAAAATAGCGAGGGACTGCTGTAAATGTAAAATGTTGCAGCTAGAGTAGTCTTGCTTATTATTGCAAGCCATAGGATGAATTCTCAGAGGAAGGTAAATATTTTGGGGAAGCTAAAAGAAGGTAAGGGTTATTGAATATTTATTATGTGATTCGAAGTGGTACTTTCCCCATTGATAAAATTCTCTTCTTCCGGAAAAGTGAGAAGACACATTTACATACGGAAATTTGGTGGCCTTTCATAGTGAAATTTATGCCTTGAATTTAGACCAAAAGGACCAAGGCAAACAAGCAAATTGCTTTCAGCTCAGAATAATCCTTATACAAAAATGGCTGTCTTTGGGGTGGCATGCTCTGACCCCCTTCAGAAGGAAATCATTGCTGTTGGCCTTGCCTGGTGGTTAGAGCTGCTTTGAACAAATTAACTTTCTTTTTCTTTGGCGGAACCGGGGATTGAACTCAGGCCCTTGCACTTGCCAGGGAAACGCTTATTCTACTGAGCTATCTTCCCCGGCCCCACAAATTAATTTTTGATGTTTCTGTTTTTGAATATAGTTTGGAGCACAGAAGGTGACTGCCTGCACAGAGCCCAGCTGCAGTGCCCAGCATGGACGGCTACATGGTCCTGAGAGTGATCGGGGAGGGCTCCTTCGGCAGAGCTCTATTGGTTCAGCAAGAAAGCAGCAAGCGGATGTTTGCCATGAAAGAAATAAGGCTTCCCAAGGTTATTGCTAAAGAAAGTAGCTCACATTGAAAGTGAACATGTAATTTATGTGAGAGTAGATCCTTGAGGTTTAATATTGAATTTGTCCTTAAAAAATGTGTAATCAGTTTTTTCATTCCTAGTTTCACAAGGGCTTGATGTATTTATGCAGCTGTTAAGGTCGTGCCATTAACAAAGGGAGGGAAACAGTCACTGTGTGCTATTTTATCTCTGAGTTATTAATAATCCAATTTCATATACATAGCATTAACAAAAGCAACTCAGGTACAATGATGATCATAAAAAAATACAAACACAACAATGAACAAAGCTTTAAAATACAAACCTGTGTTGAGGAACCTACTTTTTAGATCATTTTATATTGCTACATATATCTTTTTTTTAATGTATTTAGTACAGGGTCTCACTACACAGATCAGACTCATAGTGATCCTCCTATTTTCAGCCTCCCAAGCGCTGGGATTACAAGTACGCACCACCACACCCAATCTGTCTCATCTCAGTACACCCTGAGGGCAGCGCCAACATGGCAAGGCAGGGATCAAATCTGGGATTACAAGTGTGCACCACGACACCCAATCTGACGCATCTCAGTACACCCTGAGTGCGAGGCCAACACAGCAGGGCAGGGATTGAATCCTGGTTCCTGTGCCTGCCTAAGCAGACGCTTTAGTCCACTGAGCTATCTCACCAGCTAGATCACTTTTATAGATTTTATTTCTCTGTAGACAATTTGTTATAGTATATCATTGTTGTTCTAGGGAAGCATCCTTTTCAGGTTGGTTAATGTTGTTTTGGCCAATTTAGAAAAAAATTTTTTTTAAATATTTATTTGTTTGGTATAGGGTTTTTCTGCACAGCTCAGACTAGTAGTGATCCTCCTATCTCAGCCTCCCCAGTGCTGGGATTGCAGGTATGTGCCACCACACCTGGTTTTGAGGCTGGCACTGCGTCCCCAAGGCTTCAGGGACAGCATGGCATGAGGTGCCAGGGATAGAACCTGGGTCCTTGTGCTTGCTAGGCAGGTGCTTAGACCGCTGAGCAATCTCCCCAGCCCTCAGTTTCTTGATTTTAAGAGTTAAACACTCAGGGAGCTTGTGACTGGAATGCTGCTCTGGGCTGGAGCCAGCCTGGTGGCCAAGTGCAACTCCAAGTTGTCCAAAACCTTGCTACACATGAAGCTCATGCAAAGAGGACTGGACTCGAAACCAAGAAACACCTAGAGGGAAGAAAGAGAAGATCATTAGTGAAGAATGCTAGCACTTAAGAGTTTCATAATAGAAGAGCAGAGCTTCTTTTCTCTTTTTTTGGTACTGAAAATCAAATTTAGAGCCTCAAGTTTGCCAGGCAGGCACTGTGCCACTGAGCTCTGTCCCTGGCTCAGACTTTTCTTACTATGTGAAGATCTTCTCTTCTCTATCATTCTATGAAAGAATGTCACTCAGGGTTTAATCCTGAAATTGAGAAATTAATGTTTCAGCAGGTTAAAGAATAAAGCAGAGGAGGAAGGGAAAGATGAACAGTAGAGCTTGATGTAACAGGTGAGGAAATGGCCAGAAGGGACCTTGGTGAGGACAGTTGAAAAAAGTTGGCCAAGAAGAGAGATGGTGCTAGTTATGAAGGAGATGAAAATGGAAATGAAACCAATTAAAACATAAAAGGTGTTCTGAAAGCCCCAAGCTTAAAATGGATACCTTCAATATGGCTCGGGGTGCCTGGGGAAGCAGCATATTTTGGAACTCATCCCCATGGTTTCCCTAATTGCTAACATGTGATGTTCATTTGTAAAGAAATGTGTAATTTTGGAAACATGCTGTTTCTGAAACATATGATAGATGTTGTACATCCTTTTCCTAAGGGTATTCATGAAGACTGTAATTCCAGCCCTTGACTTTCATGTGTACTTAGGCACAGGATTGCTTACTAACAATTTTTATACCCCAGATTTAAAAAAAAAAAATACATAGTCCTCTAGCTGGGTGTGGTGGCACTCACCTATAATCCTAGCAGCAGTCAGGAGACTGAGGCAGGCGGATCACTGATTTGAATTGACTCCTACAAATGTATGTCAGTATTACAGTTGCCCTTGTGTTTATATTTTGCTTTAAATTATTAATCATGTTGATCTAGTTCATGCATTCATTTTGGAATCAAATGTCATGAGAAATTATTGTATATTAATTCATCAAGAACAAATTGCTGGACATGGTGGTTCATGCCTGTAATCCCAGCACTTGGGAGGCTGAGGCAAGGAGGATCAACATGAGTTCAAGGTTAGCCAAAGCTACATAAACTAGTCAAGGCTGGTCTGCATTATGTAATAAAACTGCCTCAAAAACAAAAACAAAAACCTCCAGCATGAAGCATTTTTTATACTACCAATATATTGCCTCTTGAGGGTAATATTTTTGTTGTTGTATAAGATGTTTAAGAAGTCCTACAGTAAACATCTTTCACATAAAGCAAAAAGAGTAAGACTTTGAGTTTCTCCTTATAGAGTAAGTTAGGGATGATCTTGGAAATGTATTTAACCTGTTTTTCTTTTCCATCCTTGATATGATAATACACTGGCATTTTTTTTTTTTTTTCATCTGGAGTAAAGGATGGATAAGGTGGTTTTGACCATTAGAGCATGAGTACCCTGGCTTTTAGGATGTATTATTTTTAATAGCATGCTGACTCTCCAGGTCTGGTGATGTTTGAACAGATATGATTCTTAGTTTAAATTCTTCATGTGAAAGGAATGAAAAAATAATACAACAAATGGATCCCTTCAAGCATAGAAAACATGGCTGTGGTTGAAAAATTATGTATTTTCTTTAGGAGTTTGGCAAAGTTGAGGACAAGTACGGTTTTATAAAACAACATAGCACTGAAGTGTATTTTTTTTTTTTTTTGTGCGAAACCAGGAATTGAACTCAGGCCCTTGAGCTTGCCAGGCAAGTGCTTCTTCCACTGAGCCATCTCCCCGGCCCCTGAAGTGTATTAACATTACTAAATATTAGGATAAAGCTATTTTAAGATTCAATATTAAATGTATGGTTATTTAAAATCTTTTCCTAGTCTTTTTCTGATACACAGAATTCTAGGAGGGAGGCTATTCTATTAGCCAAAATGAAACACCCCAATATTGTGGCCTTTAAAGAATCATTTGAAGGTAAATATGAATTTTTCCAAATATGTACATTTCTAAATTTGGTCTGTAGCAACTGTGACTTTCCTAAGGAGTCTTGTATTTATTTTAGTTGAAGGACATCTGTATATCGTGATGGAATATTGTGATGGAGGGGATCTGATGCAAAAGATTAAGCAACAAAAAGGAAAGTTATTTCCTGAACACATGGTAAGAGGCTGACTTACATAGTTTCCCCCAAAGTTTAGAAGCAACTTTTCTCAGAGACTTTGTATAAATTAAAAGCATTACCTGATCCACTAGTTAGAAACAGCTGGTTTCTGAGTCATTATTACTGCTCAGTGTCTTCAGAATGGCTGCCTGAAATATCTATCATATTCATATATGTATATATATGTATATGCATATAATATTTCGTGCAAGATCTACAGGGTCTCACTATGTAGATTGGACTCATAGTGATTATCCTGTTTTCAGCCTCCCAAGCACTGGGTTTACAGGCTTGCGCCACCATACCCAGTCTCAATTGCTGTCTCAGAGCGCCCCAGGAGTGGGGCCAGCATGGCACTGCCTGAAATATTTTTAAGAATTATTTTTAAGTGAAGTCAAGGTGGTGATAGTAGTACATACCTATAATCCCAGCACTTGGAAGGCTGAGGCAGGAGAATCAGTGCCTGGGATAAGAGTGAGTTTAAGGCCAGCCTGAACTACCTAATGAGACTCTGTCTCAATCAACAACAAACAAAAAAAGTAAAATCCATTCAAGTTATAAAAAAAAGGGGTCAAACTTACATGTTTAAAAAAATTTCAGCTGGGTATGGTAGTGCACACCTGTAATCTTACCACCTGGGAGCCTGAGGCAGGAGGATTGCCACAGGTTTGAGGCCAACCTGGGTGGGCTAATGAGTTCAAGGCCAGTCTGGAGTACATAGTGAGACTATGTCTAAAAAAAAAAAGTCCAAATTTTATTGATCTGTCCTTGTATTGGCTATTTGAAATCTTGACTGAAATTCTGTTTTTCCCTCTGGCTGGCTTTAGAGAAGAAAGACTCTAGTTTCTTTGACCACCTTGGGCAAGAAACTTTCTGTTTTTTGGTTTGTGTTCTGTTTTTTATATCTGCCTGAGGGGACAGAGGGAAGCCGGAGAAAAAAGATCGGAAACCTCTTATTTCGTGGTCCCTTTCCTTGAGCTCACAATATCCAGCATGTGAAGGCATCATACTTTGGAGTATTATATTGAGTCCCAACACACAGTAAATGACTTTGAAATGAATTGGCCAAGAAAAATCTTTACATAAATACCTTCCATGGGGGTTACTTTGATTTAGGTTATAACATGTTTTGAAAGCATATATTCTTCATTTACAAGTTGTATCTTTTTAATTTTTTTTATTTTTTAATTTTTTTTGGCAGAACCAGGGATTGAACTCAGGGCCTTGTGCTTGCCAGGCAAGTGCTTATTCTACTGAGCTATCTCCCCAGCCCCTTGTTGTTCTTTTGATTTTTAGACAAGATCTCACTCTGCTATTAAGGCTGGCGGTGAACTCACTATGTAGTCTAGGCAGCAGTCCTCCTGTCTCAGCCTATATCACTGTGCCAGGTTAAAAGTATAAATTCCAGGAGTAGGAATGTAGCTAAGTGGCAGAGTGCGTAGCATGTGTAAGGCCATAAGTTAAATCCCTACTGCTGAAAATAAAACAAAAAGAAAATACCTCAAAGATGATTGACAACACAATGTGAAATCCTTAATGTCATCATGAATATTCTGAAAAAAATAAATGAAAGTCAATGTCATAATGACACTCAAAACACTAGTACATATTTCTTAATGGTGAGCTACTTTTAAGTATGTATTTAAGATACTTGGTTGAATACAGTAAAATAAACAGGTTTTATTAAAATAGCTGTATTTGTTTTTTTGACCTAGGGCTTCACTTTGTAGTCCAGGGTGGCCTTAACCTCACTGCCTCCTGAGTGCTGGAATTACCACCACACCTGGCTTGAGCTATTTGGATCTAGCTAAAATGATGAAACATGAGAACCACAGCTTTTCTGATAGAATCTTAGTTGAGTTATGCAGTTTGCATGAATTTTGTATGTTAAAACCCTGTCAACTAAGGTCTAAAGGTGCTTCTTTGGAATTCTGGGTTAACATGAACAAGTTACTACATCTGTGCAAGTGTTACATGCTTTTTTCTTATAGATACTTAATTGGTTTACACAAGTGTGCCTTGGAGTAAATCACATACACAAAAAGCGTGTGCTGCATAGAGATATCAAGTCCAAGGTGAGTGGAAAACATTTTGAGGCATGGAAAAAAGAGACTGTTTAATATTGTGTGTGTGTGTGTGTGTGTGTGTGTGTGTGCGTGTGTGTGTGTGTTGATTCTGGGAATGGAACCCAGGGATGAGCTACCTCTAAAGTACATATATGTACAACCAAAAATAAATAAATAAAAGGGTTGGGGAGATTGCTTGGCAATCTAAGCACCTGCCTGGCAAGCACAAGGTCCCAAGTTTGATCCCCAGTACTACATGCCTAGGTGTGGTGGTGCATGCCTGTAATCCCAGTGTGGGGGGGAGGCTGAAACAGGAGGATCACTGAGTCTGAGCTGCATAGTGAAGCCTTGTATCTATCTACCTATCTAGCCACTTTTTAAGTTTGAGACAGGATTTTGCTGAGTTCTCCAGGCTAGCGTTGAACTTGTAATCTTCCTGCCTCAGCCTTCGTCTGTACTGGAACTACAGGCATGCCACTGCCTTTGGTTTCTTTATCTTTTTCTGTTACTCATTTTCTTTAGGGATATTTCTATGTAGTGTAGAAATGTTTGCTAGCTTAATATAGGTATATATATATGTGTGTGTGTATATATATATATATATTTTTTTTTTTTTTTTTTCCAAATACCTTCAGGGCAGGTTTGGCTGGATTGAGTTGTGGGAATCGAACCAGAGCAGCCTAAGCCTGACTCCTTTATTGAAGCAGCCACTTAAAGAACTGAGCTAAGGAGCAGGCCCCCTAAAATAGTCTAATTCTTTTTTTTTTTTTTTGGCGGAACCAGGGATTGAACTAGGCCCTTGCGCTTGCTGGGGAAGCGCTTATTCCACTGAGCCATCTCCCCAGGCCCTGTAAATTTAATTTTTAAATTAAAGAATTTTCCTGAATTTACTAAGATAAAAATGATAAATAAAAATTGCATGTATTTTCAGTGTATATGTTTTGATATATTTATACATTGTGATTAAATGGAGCTAATATCTCTCTAACCTCATGCACTTTCTTGTGATTAGAACATTTAAGATCTCCTTGCAGGGCTGCCTAGCATGTGTGAGGATCTGAGCTTGACCCCAGCACCACAAAAAATAGAATAGAAAAGTAGCTCTACTCTCTTGGTAATTCTCATACATACATTTTGAAAAAATACTGTACATTAACCAGTCACATGTCACACAATAGATTTTTGAGAACTTATGCTAACTGAAGCTTTATACCCTTTCACCTAATATTTATACTAATCAAATTAAGTAGTAGGTGTGGAAAAGTCGTTTAAATCTCTTTTGTGATGTATGTGAACGAGTTTCCAGTCCTTTTAAAGCTGCCCTCTGGTTAAGCCTGCGTGTTCACAACCCGGAGGTGGGCAGTACCCGGCCTGCCACTTGGTGGCGCCCTGACCAAGGTCCCTCTGCAGTGCCCCTGAAGTTTGTGTGTTAGAGCTCCAAGTAGTCATCCTGAGTCCCCAAGCAGGGGAGCATGTGGCAGTCGAGAGGAGCTGTGCTGCTTCGAAGTCCACCCAGAGACTTGGTTGTCAGCACTTGTGCTCTCAGCCCCTGTCAGCTGCAAGGTTGAAAAGACCGCTTCCCTGGGGTCCTCTGCCTTAGGGGGGTCACTGCTGGGCCACGTGATCTGAGTCCCTCTTTTTCAATACAGAATGTCTTCCTCACCCAAAATGGACAAGTGAAACTGGGAGATTTTGGATCTGCCCGTCTTCTCTCCAAGTATGTCTCTGTTGTATTGCAGTAACAGTATTCTGAATACCCATTTTCAGGAATACTATGTAATCATCTTTTGCCTTTTTTATGGTTTCAGTCCCATGGCATTTGCTTGTACATATGTAGGAACACCTTATTATGTGCCCCCAGAGATTTGGGAGAACCTGCCTTATAATAACAAAAGGTAAGTGATGTCTTTAAGTGTTGAGAGGGTGACCCTTTGGTGGCAGGTCTGGCAGCCTGCAAATGGTGCTGGTGCCAGTTTAAAGCAGGTGCAGAGCATACTGGTTTACTTAAGCTGGGGATGCAGCTCAGTGGTAGAGTACTTGTTAGCATGTGTGAGGCTCTGACCCTTACACTGCAAATAATTAAGGTAAGACAGCACAAGTCTTAAAATAAAGGGGTATTTGACTCCATTCTTTTCTTTTCTTTTTGGTACTGGGGATGGAACTCAGGACCTTGTGCTTACCAGGCAGGTGCTTATGTTGCTAAGCTTTCTCCCTGGCCATTAATAATAAAAATATATTTGAAATCAATGTGGATTCTGTGTTCTCAGACTTTTAGAAGCAGTCAGTTATCCAGCTGCATTAGTCAGAACTGCGAAGAACTAGTTACAAATGCTAGAAGAAAGACCAGTCATTTCTAGGAGTCTAATGAATTATGTCACTGATTCCCTAGCTTTGCTATTCTGGCTTTTAAGAATCCCAAAGCACAAGTCTTACTTTTTCCTCCTTAGACTAGTTGATGTATTCTTTTCCCCTCATCTTTTTAGACAGGGTCTTGCCCTGTAATTCAGGTGAGCCTTGAACTCACTATGTGGCCAAGGCTGGCTTCAAACTCATGGTGATCCTCCTGCCTCAGCCTCCCAAGTATCAGGATTTCAGGCCTATATCTCTATGCCTGGCCTCCAGTTGATGTATTCTATATGCAGATTGTATCCCTTTTCCCCACTTTATATTGTATTACATTCATCTTCCTACATAATTATACTCTTCATAAGTATTTCTAATGACTATATGTGTATTGTTCTATGACTCTTTCAGAATTTACTTAACTGATGGTGGTTCAAAAAGAAGGGGGTGGTGAATGAAAGCAAGAGACAGGAAAAGGAATATTGTGGGACTGTCCTGCTTCAAGGTTGTATATGGTGAGATTTTTGGACTTATGTGTAAACATAAGAAGTATATAATTCTTTATGCCTATTTTAAAAATATATTCTTATTTTAAATGTTTTTTATCATATTCTGTAGGGACTTAAAGTTCAACATATCAATACTTGATGAAAAATACCTGTTCCATATTATGTCTAAAATGTTTGATATGCAGACAGATAGTGAGGTTAAGCTTAACAGCCTAAGTTGTATGGTAATAACAATAAGCTTGTCTTCTGGATGGTTAACAACCTAAGTTCGCAGACCAAAATTAGAGAAAAAGGAGGGCTTCAAGAAAAGCCAACATTTTGGCCCTAGCCTTCCAAGGTCAAGTAAGACTCAGGACATATGAGAACTTGTACTGTAACGTCATGTAACTCGGCGGTGTCTCAAATTTTCTGATCAAGGAGATGATGGGGCCAAAGAGGAAAGTGATTGACGATGTAGAGTGTACCTAAGGAGAGTCATATGGAGAGAAAACATTCTCTCAGGCTTTCATACAGAGCACACTGGCCAAGCAATGGTCGTGACTCATCCACATGGCTGACACTGACAAAGGTTCTACAATTTGAGGTACAGGATCTCAGGATAAATCCTGAGGGGATTTCACAGACCTTATCAGAACCAAAAGCTACAACTCTTGTTGCATAGGTCCTGCTTTACCTTGGTCTTAACCATCCAGCAGATAAGTATAAAAACAAAATATAAGAAGTAAAGCCATGCTGTTATGCTGAGCTGTAGGGGACTCAGGTCAACAATTTCTGACATTGCCAGTCAAGCAGAAGACCCAATACTATAATGGCTACTGGACTCTTTTAGAATATTTTGCTGAGTTAATACACCTATAATATTCAAATAACGGAACTTAACAAAAAAAGGGTATACAGAGGTATGTCCATTTTGTATCTGTGTATTCAAAATGGTTAGGATAGATATATAGTTACATTCTCTTAATGAATAGAGTGTTTTGTTCTAATGGTGTTTGTAAATAGGATATCATGTCCACATCTTGTACAGCAATTAACCACTAGGAAGAATGTATGTAATGTGTTAATTATTGAAACTGTCCTACCAAAAGAAAAAAAAAAAAGAATTTACTTAACCATTTCTCTTCTACTAGCTTTATATTTTTTCACTTTTCAATACCATAAATGGTGTGGATATCATACCTTTCATGCTTAAATTATCTTTGCTTTTTGGTATTATATACGTAGCATATTCATAGAGGTCAAAACACTTATGGTCTTGTTATTTTCTGCTGAGTTGCTTCCTGAAAAGGGTAGGACAACTTATGTAAAATACATTTCTTTAAGAGAACTGGGAAGCTGGGGTGTAGCTCAGTGGTAGGGCACTTGCCTAACTTGCTTGAAGCCCTCGGTTCAGTCCCCACTACTGAAGAAAAGAGTAGAATTGACTAAACTGGAGGTAAGGTGATCCTAAAAGGACTTACTAAAACAACTGGGGAGGTATTGAATGATATTCTTGAATTAAGGGGAAATTGCTTGGATGTGAAAATGACATTGTGTTTGTTAGGAAATGCTCATCTTCTTGCAATGATGTATTTAGGAGTAAAGTATTTGGTACTTACAGCCTTTTAAAAGAGATTCAGATGTATTAGAAAATAGAAAAACAGTACAGAAACACAGCAAATGTCAGTGATTGGGAACTTAGGTAAGAACACATGAACATTTACAACCTTTCTTTAAGTTTGAGATTCAAAAAATTTAAAGTTGAGGGAAAAGAGTTAATTTTTTTTCCATAATTTTATTGGCAGACAAATAGCAATGAGACACTTTCAAATCAAATTGGTAGGACAGTTTCAATAATTAACACATTGCGTACTCTCTTCCTAGTGGTTATTTGCTGTACAACATGCAGACATGATATTCTATTTACAAACACTATTACAACAAATCCCTCTATTCATTAAGAGAATG